GTGTGTGTGTGTGTGTGTGTGTGTGTGTACATGTGTGTGTGGGTGGGTGGGTGTATGTGTGTGTATGTGTGTGTGTGCGTGTGTGTGTGTGTGTTTCATTTTGTATGTGTGTGTGTCAGTATGTGTTTGTGTATGTGTGAATGTGCGTGTGTGATTATGTGTGTGTGAGTGTGGGTTTGGGTGTAGTTGTGTATATATATGTTTGTATACATATATCTTTGTGTGTGTATATACTTATATATGTATTCTGTTCTTGATCTCTTTGTTTACCTTTACATTTATCCGTTCGCTTTAATCATGAAGGTTAGACTCTGATGGACGTCGCGCTCTTGACGACAACGTTGTCATGTTGCTACCATTTTTTTCTGTCTGATATAGTACGACTTGCCGTGGTTTTGCCTTTCATGCTAAAGACCTCTATACTTGTAGCACTGACCTATGCAGAGACTGAGTGTTCTAGGTCCAAGTTGTTTACAAATTATTGTATATCTGGTATCGTAGACTTAATGCTTTCCCTCGCTTTTTAAACCTAGTTGTATGTGATCGGCTGACTGTAGGAGTTGGCTCACGGTACCTCTCCGAAACGAAAGTTTGAAGAACTCGTTGTTGTTACGCCACCCTCGCTGACTACTCACTTTTTTGTCAATTGACGATCATTTATATCCCCAACCGAGTAGGCTATCGCGTAGTACAAATTATGATACGGTGTATGTACAAGTACATTTGGTAACTCTGTTGCAATCATATATACAAACACATACATACGCATCGTTGCACAGGGCACAAGGAGCGTATATCGGGCATCAAGTTCTCGTCACGGAATGATGACATACTGTACTCGTGCTCTATGGATGGTGCATTCTGTCAGTGGAGTATCAGTAGTGGGAAACGAGTGATTTTATACAACGCTGGCAAGAACCTGTAAGTGTATGCCGAAACATGAATGTGTTAAGCTGGCTCATTGTGTTCGATAAATACGCGTTTGTCTCTGATCTATTGTGTGGGCTTTGTTTGCTTGTACGTTTGTGTCTGATTGCATAGTCTAGATGCTCGATACGACCTCTTAGGTCGGTACAGTACCGGTAATAAGTAAAGCTTCAGATGTAATCTGCATGCATGACACTGTGTTAAAGATGATAGTATTTCTGGTTTAGTGACGGTGTATATGGAGCCTTATAGTGTGCATACGGTGCATTCTATCAAAAGTAAATATCGAATGATGCTTTCCGAGAAAAAGCAATTTATGTTTCTCGGCTATATTCCTTAGAGAGAATACTTGACGCGAGCGCTATGCCAAACTTTTATAGACATGTATAAGTAGCAGTATTCGTTCCTTACTCTGTACGCACGCCAATCCGCTCGATACCTGCAGCGCAAAGCACCTCATCAAGGAGGTGGCCATGTCAGGCCAGTGAAGCAAGGGATACTGTACTCACTAGTGTACTACACAATTAGTGCATGGTCTTCAATAAGTACCATAAGATTTTATCTATTTGGCTATCCGTTTTGCTTTAATCCTGCCCCTGTAGTATCCGCTCTATCAAACGTGTACGTCTTAATCAAACGCTTGCACGGCGAAGTGTCTGACACGGTGTAGCCGTAGACAGTGTATTACCGCATCGAAGTTGTTGTCCACTTTAACACCCGATACTTTAATCCTCCCAGGCCTCTGACGAGCTTCGATGTCAACTGTACCGAAACTCTCGCTTGCCTTGGAACAGAGTTCATAGACCACGAGGCCAAGCTTCTTTTCATAGATCTGACCACTGCGGGATCTGGCAGGTTTGTAGATCGTTCCACCACAGCCTTTCTTTTTCTTTAAACTGACTAGGGTGTGTATGTAGGTGTTTTTTGGCTGGTCGCTGTGTAGGGGACGCGTTACTTGCTTGTCGCGCTATGAATGCTCTTGCGTATATCTATCATGGCTGTGCCCAGGTAGATGCATGTGAACTAATGTTCATTATCCTTAATCGTTAATATTCTGCCTCTGCTGTCATAGGTTAGTCGCCACATATGACAACGTGCACAATGACGACATCACATGCATACACTTCCACCCGATCACACCGACGGCTTTACTAAGCGGATCTACCGATGGGACCGTTTCACATATCGATCTCTCCTCCGCACCCGATTCGAATGAGGTAGATACAAATCAAGAATTAGTCTGTAGTTTTGTAGCGTTTGACATTTGTTATCAAATTTGCAGGTGGGCATAGTGCGGTAGTGTAGAACAGCTGTGCTACTGTGCGTATATGGCATACTTGTGGTGTTTTCTGGTGTCTTTGTTATTTTTTTTTCCTGCCCAAGGCTTTCTGCTTACTTTCTGTGTGATGAAAACTATGTGAGAGTTGTCGTCCAGATTACTGAGAAATACAGGAATATCACCAGACAAGGATCAAAGACATAATTATTATTACCTTTCAATAATTAGATTGGGCGCTGCTTACCGGTGGGGCTACACAACCGTGCTGCTTTACGCGCTCAACTTGGTATACCCGAGGGCGTGAGATAGTGTTTATATATGCGGTATGAATTAGAGAGATAGTTGTGGGTGCACTCTCTCCCTGACCACACTGCCGTACGTCCATAGGACGATTGTTTACTCTTAACACTCAATACAGAATCCTCGGTTGCCAGCATTGGGTTTTTTGGCCCTGTTTCGCAATATATCTACGCAACTACGCATATAGAGTCGCTGTATGTATGGGAAATCAACGAGGGCACACAACTGGTACAACTCAACGACGTCAGACAAACGACCAGGAATAGCCCCATACCTGTACAAATAGATTATATAGTAGATGTGGTGTATCACGCCTCGTCACAGAGACTCTTCTTGGTAGGTGACTAGCCGTAACTGCAAATTTTATTTATTTTTTGACAGCTTGTTAAGCGATTGTATTTACACTCCATATCCACGACCACCCTGGCTCAACTCACCACACAACCAATTATGTATGAGTGACTGAGATGGGTGGTTGTTTCTGTTTCGTTGCCACAATTTAGTTGTGCGCAGTAGAGCTCTACAGAATGTATGATCTAGCACCTGCTTATCATGTGTCATAAAAAAAATCACAGGTTGCTGGGACATTCGATGGAAACATTGTTATGCTACATATCAATAGAGATAGCTTAGACTTAGTGGCTACGATGCCAAAAGCTCACAACGAGATGGTACGGTGCTCGTTCTGGAATACGGGTGTAGACCATGTCTTCACCGGTGATGAAGATGCGGTCCTGTGTAAATGGGGTCCTCCACTTCCCCCGGCACCAGTAGATTCTAACCCTGAGGCCGACCACAAGGTGAGAATATACGCTTTTAGGTTGGGTTTCCCATGCATAGCTGAGAGCGGCTATCATATATAGAGCCAGATGGACTACGATATTTTTTCCACTGGAATTATCACTGTTAGCGATGGCTATGAATTTGTGTACGCCGGCACCGCGTCCATATTTGCTGCGACCATTGTGCGTGCCTGCACAGTAAACATGGTGCTGTGTGCGTATCCGTTGCGAATTCGAGTATGCTTTAAGTGTTGCCTGTATCTTGTACATATGATCGGCTTCCCGAAATGATTGAGTTGTACTTCGAAGGCTTGCTCTGTTATGGTTTTTACTTTTCATTTCGGTAGTCATTTTTATTCATACCCTCGTGCTATACGCTACCTTCGTGTCGTATGCAGATCAAAACAGTTACCGACAGCAGAGGCGCGCAGAAACGAGTAGCACCATACTAAAATGGTCTTATGGCGGCCAATTTTTTCGCTGGGTCAATTTGTCTGCTGATTATCGGTGCTTCAGTAGTAAATTAGTACATCAATTAAGTTCTCTGATCTTTCGTCGGCAATCTCGCGTACTGTTATTTGCTCTCGGTATACGGGCTCTGTGATTTCACTTATTTGCGCCTATGCAATCTGAATTCTCGATATTTATCAATAGCGTAAAATCGTTATGCACGGAATACTACCATCGATAAAAACAAACCAACGGCCCGAGTTTAGTGTTCTGTACTACCTGAATTGGGAAGTGCAATATCGATCTTTTAGACAAGCAGAAAAGTTGCCCATTTAATCTTAACGTGTGGTAAAATATAAATTATGTAGCGCCTGCTAGTCGCCAGCTCCACACCGGACATTGTATAATTAAGATTTATTGACTTACATTTACAGCATGGTTTCTAAAATAGCTGAAGGGACTGTATTTCTACGTGTACTGTCTCTTCTCTTCGTCGCCGTATTCAGGGGACTTTGGCACACATGCGTGAGCATAACTGCAATATCGTCTATTTCAGATGACATGAGTTTAACATTACTAGATTTGTGTATTGGCAGTTTTGGTGCTGACCAACTACCGCAGGATTCGGTCCTGATTCTCATAAGCTCTGGTTCGGTTTGCATACAGAATTCGTACACCCTATTTTGTCGCTTAAGGTTGCTGACATGTTTCTTATTAGTGTTTAAGATTGCATCTGCGACTGTGCCATAGGCCAACAACCATGCAGTTGCATCATTATTTGTGAGTTTCTTCTCTCGTGAGACCAGACTATATCCCGTGTGTGTGGTGTCATTTGACCCAAATAGATCTGCATATTTGCGGTCGCATACGCATTCGGTCGAAAGATTGCTACATATAATACATATGCGTTTGTATGCACAACCGAGGCGTGTCGTCAATGCCTGCAGGAGGGCCTGAGTTGTACAGAGGGTTGAATGAGAAAAAGTAAGTTTTCGATAGCACAGATTTGATAGTTTTCTCGGGGATGCCGCTCTACAGCTTCAATCACCAGCGCTGCTAATACGAACGAGCACCTCGCACCAAGCAGAACTCAAAACGATACTGCTCCTGTTACCGAACGCGTAAATTGAATACAAAATGTTCAAATACACACTAAACCGTACCTGTCCGCCGCAAATAAGCATTTCTCTGGTAATGCCCACCCGCTTATGTGTTTGAACCATCCGCTTGAATTGCGATTTTTCTTTTTCCCCTTCAATCTCTCCGACGTCGAAGTTCACCAAGAATTCTACTTGGTCCACAATCATGTGCAACATTTTGGACAGCTTCAATCCTTGTAGCGACATGCTGCCGAATAGTATTTTGGTCTCCGGTCTAAGTGTAAATAGTGCCTGATAGAATTTATCTGAGAATTCTAAGAGAGGAAAGCAGTCCTGGGAATCGCGAGGTGTACACACACATCTCCATGATGCCCTGGAAAAATCAAAAGAGTATACGTGCAATTAATTTCGACGGGATTTTGCCTCGATTATTTTTCTTCCGCAAAAGTGGACGAAGAGGTATACAGTCACCACTTTTTCACACTAGCAAAATACGTGTCGTTCAAGGAATACAAAACAATTGTAAGGAATATGGTGCGTTGCCTTACCTTACTAAAGCGCAATCTTCGTGCATTAGACCGACTGAGAAATGTCGACCAACGTCATGCCTTTTCTTCCGAAGTTGTTTGTTCATAATTTTATGCACGAAACGCTCAAGATTAGCTATCCTGTAAGGCCGGGGGGTTTTTTCCGAGAGAAGTGAAGGTTGAGGTGATTGGTTCGTTTCTTGACCTGAAGAACTTCTTAATTTTCGCTTTTCATTCAGTAGCAGCTTTCTCTGTATTTTCAAGTCAATGTTTCTTTGAAACAATGCTTCTTTAGAATATTTTTCAACTTGCACATGGTTCTTGAATGATATTTTATCTTTTTGTATTGTATCGTATGTCTGTTGTGGGACAAGGTTAGAGGCCGAACGTATATCAGGCACCGGTAAGATGACCTCCGCAGGTGATTCTAGCATGGTGTCAATAATCAATACGGCCGAAGGTAGCATGCTCGATAGGTTACTGCATAGGTTCTGGCCGACGAATCCGCCAGTGTACGATATAAAAAAATTGGAATATGATGAACAATTCAACACCACTATCTATTATAAATATATGTATCGATGTGTGAGCGATATTTTTATTATTATTAAATTGTTGTAAATATTTGTTTGTTTTTGTTTTTGTTATTTTTTTAAAAAGCAAAAATGATTTCCGCGTTGCCTTTTTTTAGGATTTAAAATTTTTCTGTTTTGTGATTGTGTTTTTTTTTAAAGACACAAAAAGCCTTGACATTTGATTCAGGCATTCGCCATTCAGCCGCAACGCAAGCCCGCAACTCACTCAACTGGCAACACATAATAACAAGAGAAGGCAAGAGCACACGAAAGAGGAAATTAGCATTTTCTGTCGCAATGGTACTCTATCTATATGACTGTGTGGAACACTCGAAGTCGGAACAGATCCTGCCAACCTGACTGGGAAAACTACGGAGGCTAGTAGCTATTCCCGTTGATCGACACAAATTCCCGTTTTAAATCGCCAAAACGTCCAGTTGGCCGCACGGTTGCCGAAGCATTCGAAGTTTCGAACCCAACCAAATGGCAAATGCGTGGAATTTTTGTAGTTTGAAGGCCCCTGGGTTGTGAGTATGTCCAGAATACTGATTTTTAAAGTGAATATAGGAGAGGCGCTTTAAAGTTAAAACTTGAAAGTTGAAAGGCAATCACAAACTGCGTATTTCAATTTGCATTTGTTGGTATTTATCTATTTTATTACTCTAAAATCTAAACGGTTAAAATATTTATTTAACAGAAAGTCTGACTGTCTGAAGTCAGTCGGAACTCTGAAGTTCTACTTCTGATACATGATAGTCACTGTCACTCTCCGTCACTGTACTCTGTCCTCTGACCTCTGATGTGAGTCTGCATTTCTGAACTGAGAACTCTGAACATATTTGAAGATTTATTTATTATTATGAATCTTCTAAGCTGTTAATGGTTCAGCCAATTATAACTTGCTGGTTTTAAAATTGAAGAAATTGTTTCTTCTCTTTTTTTAAATAAAACGCAACAAACCATATCTCTTCCGTCTCCGAATCAGTAATCAGAGTATCCGACCCATAGGCTGAAATATAAATGAAATGTTCCACTTTCGCCCATTTAATACTCCGTACAAAATATGAAAAGGCCTTTGCAGCATCGATTTGTTTTTGAGAAAAAAAATACGGTAGAGATTTTTTTCTGATTTCTGTCAGGGGCAGAAGTTTTTGTTGTTGTTTTAAACATAACAAAACAGTACATTCCGTAAAATAAAACGTGATGGAATGTGCTTGTTTTGGTTTGTTTCTACTCTTTCTCTTTGTTTTGAAAAACCAATACAGTGATTACTATAAATTTACAATCTGAAGTAAATTGTTCAATTTTCAGAAAGCTATGAGTAAATATGTGAATATGTTTTACTCTATAAATAATTACTTTATATTGAAAATTCAGCTATGTATTTATGTACACTTCTTGTGTACAGTAAATATTTAATTTACATATGTAATTGTGAAAGAAAACCCTAAAACTCTAAACCCTAAACCCTTTTTAAACACATCCTATTGTTGTTGTTTTTTAAATAAAATATGCCTCTTTGTATGTATTACATTCGAAATATGTGCGGATGGCCATTGGCCGGATACAAACATGTTCTGTATTTTTATTTATATATTGATTATATTTTACAGAATATATATTAGTACCATATTTAGGAATTAAGAGGCTATGATTTATACCATTTTATAGGTCATAAAACAAAGGAATGTCACTCTCATACACTGCTCAATGTGCTTACTACTCACTTCAGTCACAGTCTTTACAGTGCAATTAAATTCTATATTTTTATAACAATAAATAACCAATAGTTGTCACGACTGAGAGTCTGTCTCAGTCTCGACTCTCGAGTTCTCGACTCTCGCATAGTCTGATCACTCTAAACTCTGAACTCTGAAGGCTGAAGACTCAAGACTCAAGACTCAAGACCCCAGGGTCCAGGCAAGAACACTTAGACTCTGCTCTGGGAGTTTGGGGTCTGCCCCAGAGTCAGGCATAAGACTGAAGTCAGTGAAGTCTCAGACAACTCTGACTTCAGAAATTCAGAACTGAGAACGACCATAAGTTTGAAGTTCAGTTCCACAACAGAACTCGACTTTGTCTATACGACACCCGTCACTATAAAATTATTAACGCCAGAGCCCGTTTCCTAAACCGCATCCGGTCCATACGCAAAGGAGGGTCGATATTTATGGGCCCAAGTAAGGCGACTTTGTCCCAAGTACCGAACTATTAAGCGTATACACTTGGCAAAAAATAAATATCGATGCAACAGTCAAGTATCTGTTTTCGGTACATAATCTACACGGCTACACCACCTATCACCTGAAATAGAATACAACTCCTCAGACTAAAGAGTGACAATGTTCTGTTAACCCTGCGAGCGTGAATTCGTGGATCCATACTTCTGAATATTATACAAAAAAAATCGTTCCACAGCCTTCCAAATTATACAAGAAGAAAAGAAGGCCATGCAAAATATGATCGTTTGGTTTGCACAATTGCACTGTAGTTCAACATGTTGAATTTGGGTTTGTCCCGTTCTGTTGTAAATTTCAAGTCCCAGGGATTTTGTCCTGTTCTGTGATTGCATCAAAGAATACACAAACTGAATTTTTTTTTATACTGAAATATGAAGAAGGCACTCAGGACTCAGAGTCGCTGAAAATGATTCTCAGATTCTGAGAGTTAGAGTTGACACTTGAGTCTTGACAGCATTGTTTTATTTATTTATCTAAAAACAAAACAAAAACAAAACAAAATATAGCTCTTGAGACTTTAATATATATATATATATATATATATATATATATATATATATATATATATAATATATATATATA